CAAGGAGATGTTTAGTGATTGCACTATTCAGAGTCCTTCTTTCCCTTGTTCTAAGACTTTTTGGAACATGTTCAAAAAATCTAAGGTATGCTCTCCTTTCTGTTCTGCCAATGTAGCTGCTTTGGCAGGTACACGTAAATTTATAAATACAGTTGGCGGTAACATGAAAGGGTTGCTTGTCGACCTTTGATTGAGTTATTGAACATGTTGTTTTATAGAAAATTAAAAGTTTAGCAGCCGGATAAGTTCTGGCAAGCGCAATATTCAGTCTCCTACTGATTATTTGTGCGACGTTATCACCTTTAAAGTTAAGATTTATAGATACTGTCTTTTTATTGACCGTAGTTATTTCCGTCTTGTTTTCTTTGGGCTTTTTATATTTGTCAATAAACTTTTGTGGATAGAAGTTGTTTCTTAGACATTCTTCTAGGTTCATTAATTCTTCTTCAAGTTTGTCGGTGGTACATATCTTTTCTACCCTGTCAAATAGTGTTTTAACCAGTGCCTTCTTGTAACTAATTGGACAGAAACTATTGAAATTCAGATAGAGGCCATTCCAATTGCTTTTTCTATAAACTGAACGTTGTACTGTCCCGTCTTTCCTACGTCTTATGGCAACATCAAGAAAGTGGAACATGTCGTTCTGTTCGTGCTCCATAGTAAAGTGAATGTTAGGATGAGCGTTATTGAAGAGTTCTAGCAGGCGGGTTGCATGCTGTTTATTATTACAGACAATAAATGTGTCGTCCACATATCTGTAGTATTCCGTCGTTTCACTGATCGCCTGTTTAAGTACCGTGTTTTCAAGATACCCCATAAAAATATCTGCCAGAATTGGACCTAGTGGACTCCCCATTGCTACGCCATCGATTTGGCGATATATGGTGTTATTAAATTGGAATTGAACATCAGTTGTGCACATTAGTAGTAGTTTTTTGAGTTCTGGAGCTGGTAAAGGTAGGAGATCATCATTCTGACAAATTATATCAATAGTTTCAAAAAGTGGTATATTGGTGAACAATGATGTTACATCAAAAGAGACCATTAACTTATCAGTAACATTCGTATGATTTAATCTATCAGCAAACTGGAATGAATCTCTTAACGTGTATGTTGCTAATCTCCGACGAACCGGTTCTAGTTTTACTGCTAACCAGCGTGCAACTTTATGATACGGTGAGTTGATCATTGATAGGATAGGTCTGAGGGGAACGTCATGTTTGTGAATTTTTGGTAAACCATACATGTGAGGTAGACGTGAACCACGTGGTCTTAGATGGTTGTACGTAGAATTATCAATCATTTTCTTTTTTAGAAGTTCTCTGAGCATTCCTGTGATTCGTTTTTCTGTTGAATCAGTCAAATCTTTTTTGGATTTATCTACCTTGAACCTAAGTTGATCGTCTAGGATTGACTTCATCTTAGTTACATAATCAGCTGTATCTATTAAGACTACACCTGAACCTTTATCCGGTCGTAGAATCATCACCTCATTATTTTGTTTGATGTTTCTTAGGGCTGTTAGATGTTCTTTGGATAGAACATTCGACTTTGGTGTCGATGACACGAAGTATTGGTTGGCAATATCAACTAACTTTGATTTGAACCATCCTTTCTTTTCCTCATTCATTGGTTGCAAATCTTTTAACTGGTCAAACAGATTTTCAAATTGAGCTTCTGTATCAATCCTGTCCGTATTTGTTTTTGGTATATGAAATTTGAGTCCAAGTGATAAGGCTTCTGTTTCTATACTATTGAGCTTCGTATTTGATAAGTTATAGATAAACTTCGAAGGGTTTTCCGGAAACCCTAAACATAGTTGTTCTCTTAACAGAGTTTTCGATAGAGATTTATGGAAATCCTTGCAAACCTTGATTTGAAGATCACGAATGAAGTTCATGAATTTTATTCGACATACGATGTTTAAATCATTAACGGCTCTAACAAAAGCACTGGCCTCAGTCCTTAGTTGTGTACGAACAGAACGACATGTTCCACTTTCTTGATGTTGCCATAAGACGTAGGAAAGACGGGACAGTACAACGTTCAGTTTATAGAAAAAGCAATTGGAATGGCCTCTATCTGAATTTCAATAGTTTCTGTCCAATTAGTTACAAGAAGGCACTGGTTAAAACACTATTTGACAGGGTAGAAAAGATATGTACCACCGACAAACTTGAAGAAGAATTAATGAACCTAGAAGAATGTCTAAGAAACAACTTCTATCCACAAAAGTTTATTGACAAATATAAAAAGCCCAAAGAAAACAAGACGGAAATAACTACGGTCAATAAAAAGACAGTATCTATAAATCTTAACTTTAAAGGTGATAACGTCGCACAAATAATCAGTAGGAGACTGAATATTGCGCTTGCCAGAACTTATCCGGCTGCTAAACTTTTAATTTTCTATAAAACAACATGTTCAATAACTCAATCAAAGGTCGACAAGCAACCCTTTCATGTTACCGCCAACTGTATTTATAAATTTACGTGTACCTGCCAAAGCAGCTACATTGGCAGAACAGAAAGGAGAGCATACCTTAGATTTTTTGAACATGTTCCAAAAAGTCTTAGAACAAGGAAAAGAAGGACTCTGAATAGTGCAATCACCAAACATCTCCTTGATACAGGACATCAGGTAGATACCTTACAATCCTTCAAGGTGATTAGTAAGCAGCCAAACTCCAGTCTTCTGAAGTTTGCTGAAGCCGTTGCCATCAGGCGTCAAAAACCTGACCTATGTGTTCAAAAGGAGATGGTTGTTAATCTTTCTTTGCCTTGGTGACAAATATTCCTTCTCTGCACCATAAATTATTATTATTATTTTTGTACTTATTACATCATTGATTTTCATTATTTTATTTCTTCAACTACGTTTCAAATTAATAATCTTTTAACTGAACTCTACTCACTATATTCCTATCAAAATTTTTTTTATTTTTTTTTTACTCATTATGTAATCAATTGTTTCTAACCCCCTTTTTGAACTGTCGTCACAATTAATGATGTAGAATATTCTTTCACATTAGGTATATATTTACAATATTCAGTATATTAATTTCATTTACACCCTTGCTACACTATACGAATATGTCTTCTATATAACTTCTAACAAAATCCTCTCATGTAAGTCATTTAAACTCATTGTCTTATTATGATTTATAAATATAACAGGTTGTAAGCAGCTGATGAGAACCTACGAAATAAAATGAATTCATGCTATTCTGCTAAAATCTTTGTTCTAGCTCTTTTCAAGATGACATTTTATTTATTTATTTACTTCTCTTGGTTTTAATGTGTTTTAAATGTTTCAGTGAATAAACTTTAAAACCTCATAACTAGGACAAAATGGGTTTGTGAAGTTTAATCAATATAATCTGAAAGAGGATTATAACAAGCTACTTGTGTAAAATATTCAAGAAAAAGTGTCAAACTTTCATTGATAGACAACTGTTTACCTAGATTATAATGAACATGAATCCTCTTACTTCATTTAAAACCAATAAATTCGTATACGATCCATAAGTTAGGGTATGAGTTAGTCCTCAAAATAAAATCATCTTCAAAACTAATTAAACTTCATCGAACAACTGACAGAATAATCAATACCTGTATAACCACTAGCGGCTATCTTCGATATGAATCTTGGAGACTTTGATAAAAATCTAAGGCTGTCAGAATTTAATCATATTTTAACACGTGATAGACATTATAATTAACCTTACCTGAATGTATAAGTGTGGTGTATGCTACTTATGTTGACAGATATAAGCAGTATGTAACACACACCAGAAGTTCAGTGCCTGTGAAAAGAGGATTGAGAAGATTGAACTGAAATGAACCGAAAGTGAAACAGAAGGGAATTGAAATGAGTACAAAAAGGAGCAATGTATAGCGCAAATACATCATATTTTTCAGATCAACTCCGTCTTCTCATTTTTCTATCGAAATAATCTCATTGTTAAATTACGAACAATAATACAGGCATAACATATAGAGAGTGGAGATCGTAATGATTTTAACGAGTCAGTATAATCTGGACCACAATTGAAAAGCTGGTAGCACCGGATGGCTGTTTCATCCTAGTATTGTACTCCGCAGGAGTGCACATCTACTATCTCGCTTGTTGGGCCCAAACCCAAGACCTTCGATCTCTAGCCCGAACACTTAACTTTCAAATCATTGAGGCCAGGATCCAGCGGTGTTAATGTCTTACTTCAGTCGATTTAACTTTACTGGCCCTGTATCTGACTTCATTTGGATCGTATGACTGATTATTATTGAAATATACATATTGTCAATCCTCATATAAGATTATTGACTTAAATCGCGTTAGTGAATAACGGAGTTAAGTAAATCAAGTACGAGAATGGATTTTTGAATAAATATATTTCGTACGCTCGTTGATCTAGACTGACAATCAGAGGGACGAAGAAAAGGAAAAGAATAAAAGAGAGAGAAGCGCAATGAAGCGCAGTGGAGGTGTGTGAGCCAACTTAATTTAACCAAGCGTTGATTGATATTTATGGTCAGACCAAATATAAGCCACAAACATGTAATGAGTAGGATAAGTAGTGTACACATATACGCTCATATAAAAACAGTCAAGGTTGATAAGCGAATAATTGACAATATCAAAATGTAGCTTGAGAAGAATGGTTAAGTTGGTTTGTCCAGAAGCTGGAATAAGTTGCGTTGGCTTAACATAGCAATATAAACTGCACAACCAATCATCCATTGTCAGAAATAGATACCTGTCTCTACTCGATATGAATTAGACTCCACTGGTCACGGCTTCTCACTAGAACTTCAGTACTTCCAGGTATTCAATGGTTGTTTAGCTTACACCGTGTCATGAATTCAACATATAGAGTTATCAACAAATTGTATACCTTTATTTACTTAGAATACAATTTGATGTAAATTACAATTTTTGCTTATAGATATAGTTAGGAATATCCTCTTTTTTTTCTAAAAATGTTTTTTCCACCTGTTTAGAATGCCAGTAGAATATCGTCAGAACAAAAATTACACTTCAGCTCATCTTAGTTATTATGAATTACCTCATTCAATAGGACGTCATTATATCTCACAAAATTATAATCAACAAAATGCATCAGATCGTCTATATCAAATAGCTATACAAGCTGCAGTGGCCAAAGCAGAATCTTCTAAATCTACAAATGATGAAATTCGTAAATTTTATCATGATGACAATAAATATAAATTAAATAAAACAAAACTAAACAATACTGTACATACTCATACTATTAATAATACAATTACTACAATCAGTACTACAACTACAATAATAACAACTGCTAATACTGCTACTACTACCACTACTACTGCTTCGACAAATATATCATCAAAAGTTAAAACAGCACATTTAACTCCGCAACAATGGCAATTATTAAATGATTATCATGAACATGATTTATTTGTACGCACAAGAAGTTGGAGTTTTTGTATGGCAGTTTTAGGTGTTGGTGTAACATTGTTTGGTATTGGTAGTCCAGCATGGAAATGGATTGGAGATTGTAAGTTTTCACCATGATTATGATTGATTTTTTGCTTTTTATCAATTTACGTAGTTATTTGTATTATCTCTAAGTGTAAGATGGATAAAGTTGTTAAGTTTCATTCAAATAACGAGCCGACCACATTCAGACTACCACTGATGATCTGGAAGCACTAGATGACCGTTTCTTCTCGATATGGGACCCTTCACCAGTATGTATCCACAACCCCACACGCAGCACTTGGACCTAAGAATTTTGTTCTCTAGCGCGAATGATTAACCTCTAGACCATTGAGTCGACACCAAACTGTGCTAATGCCTGACTTTAATCAATAGACATAACTACGCCACATTCTTCCATTATCTTCGCTTTACATCCGACAGTGATCATGGCTTCTAAGTAGAACTACGGAAATTTCTTTTCAATGCAAGCCATGAGCGAGTACTTTATAATTTTCTGTGTGGGGTTGTGGATATTGTTGGTTTTCGTTAAAATCATTAATTTAACTTTGTCATGTACTTATATGTTTGGACTTCGCTTACTTACGCTTCGTGTAGTCTTATGAGTAATTAAGCGAATAAATAATCTCTAAAGCACCTACGATTGTTACTCTTTGTAAGTACATCAATTAATTAGATCACGTTATTCGATCTTTAGTTCTTATTGAATTCAATAGCTCAATTCCCATTATAACTTCCAATATGAGAAACTTTTCATGTTTGTACATTCTACTTTAGGTTATTCACCTGACGTAAACCGATATAAAACCCTGGAAGAACTTATCAGTTTTGTCAGAATTATTGATCAATCTTTCTATTAATTGTGTAAATATTTCAAATAACCTTCCTTTTTAAAATGGATTTATTTGATGTATTTATGTGTTAACATGAAGAGTTTACAAATTATTGAAATGTTAACTACTGAAAACTTAAACGAGCATATTGCAGTTGTTTATACACTTTTCCCTCTATCCTTTGAAAAAGCAATATATGATTAAACTAGAATTCATACTTTTGTTTCATCATAGCTAAGATAAATATACTTAGTATTGTTTGCTTGTATCTCCCCATTGTTGTTTAGAACTACAAATGGTCAGTCTCTTGTTGGCATATGTGCATGCTGTGTGGACTGACTTTATATTGCCTTAAGTTACAAACTTTATAAACAAAGATGGAATACAGGACGCGCGTTTCATCCTATTTGGGACTCGTTGTAACAGTTTTATTGATTGAAAATGATTGCATTTTAGGCGGAAATGTGTTACAATATTACATAATGGTAGCTGAGAATTCTTTAATATAATAATATTTTTAGTATTGCAATATAGATTTGATAATTATTATAATTATGAAAATTTGTTAAGTGCTAGTTATCACCACTCACTAAGAAATACCTACAGTTGTGAAGAGACGACTACCCTTATTGTCTACGTAAAAGCTGATAACTAAGTCAAATCTATTAAGAGTTGTCATGATTTACAAATTTTAAAGTGTATGTAAGAGGGTAATTAGACTATGAAATGCATAACTGATTTTTCTTCTCATATGTTAAGAAATACTGTGTGATTTTTATTACATGTTTGTTTAATCTTTTGAAGCTCGGAATCCTTATGAACTTGGTTTGTGGACCTTGTGTCTACCGAACAATTCCACTTGTCTTTCAATAATTTACCACTTACAGAATAACTGGAGTAAGTTCACTAATAAAATAAATGGTTATATAATTATATTTCGTATTTCCTCTCGACCATTTGTTTCTCTGAAACACAAGTATGATATAGTTGGTAGATTGAAGTATATGCTTGGAATGAAAACAAGATCATTTACTCATGGAAATAGGATCGTTTATTTTTAACAAATGAATGTTAACGACATATTTATTGTATAAGTCGGTAATTTGTAACTAGACAAACAATTTTATTTGTTCTTAACTAGCAACATGTTAATAATTGTATAGTGGTAAATACTTCTTGCTACATTCAAATATATATCAAATCTACTCAAGTAACTAGTCATTATAAAAATCAATTAATCTAGGTTTAAAGTTGTAAGATATGAAGTGTTTGGGGAAAAAAATTGTCAATAAAACCTGATGATTGTCGACAAGCTTATGAATTAATTATTATAAAAAGCTAAAACTTTCTCAGAACAAAAATTTGTTTTAAGTTCATTTAATAATACACCTAATAATATATAAATGTAAAACAAAATAAACTAGGACTAAAACTTATTGTTGTAACTGGAAAGAACTGAAAATGATCGTCGAGGACAGGGTTGGATGGGGCGAGTTAGTGGGCGGTCTATGCTCCTCCAGAAAATATAACAGGCGTAAATAAAGGACTTATTGTTCTGATATATAAATCAAAAGTTATTGGATATCCAAAGGATTTACCAATTCGGCTACTTGTCATCTATTTGTCGATTATAATACCAACAAAGCTGCAATAATCACTGCGTTATTACTAACGTTAGGCTGGCTAAATGATGAAGAATGAATTCACCGAACAATTTACATTTGCCTAATACACTTACAAGCTGACAATTATAATTCAATAGAACTGAGTCTTTAGATTACAAGATAAATCCTTTTATACACTTCATATGAAGATATCAGTTCAATAGTTTAATCATGGCAATAAGAAATCTAGGTGTCTGATGAAACGAAATGTCATTCAACCTGTGAAAATCAAGTTAACGTACTGCGTAGCAGTTATTATTCTGGATTATGTAATTTATCACAAGCAAATTTTAATCGATAACCACTTAATATCTATGTATGATTCAATAATCTGAAACAGAAATATCCCAGTAACACTAGTATTTCCAGTGTACATCACTCAGTCAACCATTGAATTTGTGTGTTAACTAAACCTTCTTCATTGATATCAAAACATTTTAATTATTGTCATCATGGTAAATCGAATGCATGATGTATGTTTGAGGTCACTGGTTTTAAATATATGTATCAAACATTCATAAGAAAACTAATCAAGAGACATTTAATTAGTAAGCGACCACTAAATTGATAATGTTAAATAATTATTAAATGAATTATTTGCAATTAACGACCAGTTAGCATCACATCACATCACTGAAGCATTTTGAATAATATTTGATTTAATAGTTGAATTCATAAGTCCATTGAAGCTAGACCACCATGAATAACCTGAAAGCACTGGACGGTCGTTTCGTCCTAGTATGGGACTCGTCAGCAGTGCTCATCCACGAAACATTATTCATACACATAATTAGTGGAAAAAAACATACAACAGTAGATATTTACTGCATTCTAAAATACTTGATTGATTATGTGTATGACAGACGATAGAAAGAAAATCACTAATGTAATTCATTATTTATTTATTTATTTATTTATTTATGGCTTTATTCAATATTATATTTTGGTACAATATAGAATTCTCAGCATATATTGTGTAAATGTTGACTGTAATTCTCAATTTAATAATGAAATACAAGTTTATTTTGTTCAACGTGGTTGTAGGTACGCTATTACAATGATTATTTAGATTGAGATTTAAACAATAACTGCTCAATAACTGGTCTTGGAGGCTTTTTGTTAGTTTGTCGTAAAATGTATGACACAGCCTTTAGATCACCTTTATCTCAAAAGTTACACTAATCATCACATTTATCAACAAAAGTTTAGTAGTTATGACAAAACATTAAATGTATTACGTAACTACCGTGTGAAGTTAGTTAACTTAATTATTATCAATGATTTCTTTAAAGTAGTGTTTTGTAATTTTAAACCGTAATCTGTTATTATTACCCTTAAGCAAGTTTTCTTGATTATTACTCAGTTGTTATTATTGTGACCTTTATGTTTCTCGTTTTTCTTCATATCCGTCAAGTGGACAATTATCTTTCATAACTCAGAGCGATAAATTATTTCCATAGTTATATTTTTTTCTTACCCCCTGATTATTGCGTAACCTCATCTGATAATAAGAGTCTCGAATTAATTTATAATTCAATCTTTCCTATCCTTCTATGGACATATATTTTCCAATAACTATAAATATGAATGTGATAATTTCCTTGAAGAAGAATTTTCTTCGCTGAATTCTATTTTTATTTAATTTGATAACTCTTTATAGAACTTCATATATCAATTATATGTCTACTGGGTTGTGCCTGCTTATTTGGAATATTGGGTTTGGGTTTAGCTATTACAGGTGTGTGCAAAAGTGCCTTGATTCTTAGACTTTATTATTATCATTCGGCTGGCGAATGCTTTTTGGTTTCAAGTAAGTTTTTCAATTAATCTATTTTCATGTTTATGGATGAATTAAGTAACCGATCATCAATATGATCGCTCACATAGATTCTGATAGTAAAGAAGAAATTATTGATTATTATTCAAAAAAGATAAAGTATTCACTAACTTTTAATAGTTTTCCATTTGATTCCAATCAAATAAAAACACAAATTAATATTGAAGAATTAGTCCTTTTGATAAACTTGGATGGTGTAATAAAAAGAAAAAGATTATCAGAACTATGTGATATATTAGCGTAGTACATTTTGAACAATTTCATCACACATCTACTCGTTAAGAACATTTGTACATAAAAAAAAAAGGTCAACTAGACGAATGGAAGGTAAGAGAAGAAAAAGACCATAAAGAAAATAGTGTCCATCGTCCTCTATTGTCAAACATATAGTTCAAGCAGATCATAAGATTGATCATGATTCGGCTTTTGTGATGTGATACAAAAGCATTAAAGGCCGTATGCTAAAGTTAATTAAAACCTTAATCATATGAAAATTCCTACCCTCATTATGTATTCAAAAACAGTTTATTTTCACTTTAAACCTACCCTGATAATATTATCCAACGTGATAAGTTTTCATATTATTTTCTTTACTATCTTCGTTTTCCCATACCCTCCATTTATCTAGTTGATCTTTTATTCTTTCATAGATAAATATTCTTGACAAGTATATGTGTGATCAGATTGTTCTAAATGTATTACGCTATTTTATATCACGTAGTTCTAATCATCTTCGTCCTATTACAATATTCAAGTTGGAAAATTCGTTTACATTAAATGACTTAATGAGTATATTGTTAACTGAACAGCTATACATTAATTACTTCGTTGTTAATTGTATTGGAGCATGTTTTTCATAGGCATACTTGAATAGGTATTTGTTACTTTCATGGAGTGTGTACGTAAAAAAATAATTAGATAAATGTCTGAGCACTTCCTGCAGTGTAATAAATGCAATTTTTCTTCTATTTGTTTGGTCAAAACGATATAATTAAATACACTATGAATTCCAATATTAACTGCCCCTAGCAAACAAACTCATTCAAACTCATTTTTTATAAAGCTATAATTTTTGAGGAAGTTAGTCACTTCTCAACAGGGATATTGATCATTGGTCACTTAGTGTAGAGCATCATTTGGGTTTCCTAGACGTTTCCTAACCATAAAATACGTATGTAAAAAGCATTATTTATGATCTTTATATCAATTTATAATAGGCTGACATTGCACTTAACTCAATCTGACTGGTAAATTGGATTATTTAGGTTTAAAATCAGTATGCTTATGCCCAAACTGATTAAAATAAATGATCTTCAAAATAGCTACGCAGAAGAGTTATCTGCTCTTATAATGTATGTTAACTTATGAACATTCACGTATCAAGAAATTCTTACTTTGAGAAATATTAAACAAATAAATGATCTTTTAACGGTTTGAAATACAGTCAGTCAGCTACAACGTAGGACCAGGCACATATATCCATCGGTCCAAGTTGCCATACCTCATTAGCACAACAAGATCAACACCAAATTCATAGAAGTAGTTACTTCGCTGGTAGTAATATATAAAAGAAAGATTGTGCATAATGATGTAGTACAGGAAGAAAGAATTAGTTTGTAGAAAGCGATTCTATTCTTATAGTTTAAGCGAAGTCAGAGTGTACACACCTATGCCATTGTGATCTATTCTGAGCCATGTCACCGAGAGTCTTCAACCATTGTTTAAAATAAAAAACACAAACCCAAGGTCTCCTCTAAATCGATATTTAAATAGTATATAGATGATAAAGGAATTTATTCTGAACATTTGTTTATTTGAAGACAACAAATCAGTTTGAAAATAAAGTGGCTGCAATCACACAAATACCTATATGATTAATATCAGAAAGGGTTTTGTGGATATTATGGTAATCTCAATAGTTGAGATCATGAGTCAATTGGAGCTAGATCACCATGGAAAACCTGGAAGTGCTTATATGATTCTTGAAGAAATCACTTGTCTGGATTGATCATTTCTACATATTTATTAATGAACTGGTTACATTACATGAATTCAGTTTAGTCTTATAGTCATATAGAAATTTGTTAAATATTTTGCATCAAAATTATTTTGCTTAGATGATCCATTCTCTTGTACAAATGTGTAAAATGTTAAGTTTACTGTTAATAATGACAAATTAGTTGTCATTTATCAGAAAAAATAAAGTTGGAATACTGATCCAATATCAAATGACATGTTACTAAGCTAAACTAAGCAAACAATTGAAGCTACGTATTTTGACAACATAGATTTCAGAATAAAGCAAATTAATGAAAAAAAAACATTCTTTTATTTTCATCGGATATTTATATTTCGTATATGATTGATTAATGGATGATAAAACTAAAAATTACCATTATTCCATTTGTGAGTATTAGTTTTACTTAAAATCTCCGCCTGGAGTCCATCTGGAGCTACTGTCGGTCCCAAGCCCGGATAAAGGAGGGTTGGGTATGGAGTTAGGGACCCCATCCTGTAGAAAACTAACTCTCTAAGAAAACGCTAACCAGAAAAAATAATCCAAACCATTTAAACTCTGCCCCTGGAGTTAGAAAGTCTTCATTTAGAAAAGTATATGATGCCTCATGTTGTAAGCCGAGTTCCCTAGGAAGTCACGAGGCTGATGCCTCTTCTGACAACCGGAGCAACCGTTAATTTGGGTACATGGAATGCTCGCACAGTTTGGAAGATCGGGAAAGTAATCTACATTAGTTAAAATGATATCATATTTGATTACAGTTGAATCATATGAGATATTTGTGAGGCCTGTTATTTTGTCGTCATTTAGATTGGATGATGTTTGTTGATGGGCTCTTCACTTTAGTGGCCCGGGATCTGACTTCAATTAGATCGTATGAATGTTTGTTGTGGAAATATATATATCCTGACTATTCTCGTATACCTTTATCGATTTACTCCGCATTGTGTGATTAACGGAATTAAATAAGTCAAGTAACGAGAATGGACTTTTGAATACATATATTTTGTATATGAACCAAATAGAATAGCGCAAAGCGAATGGAATAGAGTGAAGCGGAAAGATGCCCAGTGGAAGTGGCGGGTAAGCCAACTCTATTTAATCAAGCCTTAATCAGTATTTATGGTCACACAAAAATAGGTTACAGACATGTGATGAATATGGGATAAGAAGTGTACATATTCGCTCATATAAAAACAGTCAAGATTGATAAGCGGATAATTAACAAGGTTAAAATATGACTGGAGTGGAATGAACAGATTGGTTTGTCCAAAAGATAGAATAAGATATATGAGCTTAACATAATAACCGACACTACAAAGCCCCCTTGTAGAAAATAGCACCTTTTAAAAAATGTGTTTTCGAAAATAACACGTTACCAATCAGCAGCGAAAAAAATCGTACTACACCCGATAAATACAGTGTCACATGAGGGGTGAGTGTACTATACTTACGTAAAAGAATACATGAATATCGTAAAGGCGCTGACAAAAATGGAAAAGTTAGCATACAAATATGAGCAAATTAATGAGCGTACAAAAAATTAACATGCGTTTATGTCGTGACTGTCTGAACGATAAAATAACAAGTTTGTATGAGCGATTCGAAATATCGTGAAAACAGTAATAAATCCTTTGTTGGTATGCCAGCGAAGTAAATCGTGAAAATAAGTAGAGTAGGATATGACAGAAATTGGTCTGTGATGCTGACAGAATAGTGAAATATGAACATGTTCTGATGAGCCGCAGTAGAGTAAATGGCATCGATTAGTGATGAGTGGATTCGAATTTAAATACGTAGAGTTTCCGTATGTAGTCGAGTCGTAAAATGATAACTGCATCGACGGGTGATATCCGTTGCTTTACTGCAATTGATAATAATCATAAAATGTGAAGTCGGTGTACGTTGTCGTTTGCGTTATGACAAATGCATCGAGGTATCGTTAAATATGTATTAGTAGAATGACCAAGGGAACAGAAAAGTGACTGAGGAGGTGAGATACGTAGAGTCGTATTCCTTTTTGGTCGTGAAGTCTCGATCGGTTTGTGTGGTTTGAGGGAGATGCGCTCGACCTCGTTTGTTACAAAACCGTACAAAGGCATGATAAAAATACAAATGCATATCATCGATGACGACGAGTGAGACTGATTTTGATGTGACGAACAAGAGTGTATCCTTGAGAGACTAGCTCTAAACTCTGTGTTCTGGTATACGGTTCGGTGGAAAAAGTTTATTAATTGCAGTATTGAAATAATGTTTTTGGGTAATGAATGATGCGGCATGTGGTAAGATGAACGTAATCTATACTGATCAGTTAGCAGATTTAGAGGCATCCACAGACATAATAAGAGGCAATATCGAAATGAAAAATATGTGAAACAATAACATGGAAATGACCTCAACTAAGTGAATGAATGTAATAATAGGCCAAAAATGACATGAAAAAATTGGAATGAACTCACTTAAAGCAGGTTAATTTTACGTTATTGAATAATAAAAATATTCCAATGAGTTTCGAATGTTATAACGTAGAGTGGAATGTTCATAAAATGATAATTTGTTCGATGAGTGATATGGTTGAGTAAATGTAATAATTTAATGTCAGCACGAACAAAAATAATAATCCCACATTAGGTCATGATATGACAATAATGTAATAACAAGCATATGCTGATAATTTGAGTCATAATGGAACAATCCGACGAATGGATCAATGAGAATAGTTGACATGAGGACAAATTATCGATAAGATAATACGATTTGTGAATGTCTATTTCGTGCTGCACAGGCTTTGCTGAGTACGTCGGATTAGCGATTGAGCTGGATCCGTTGAGTTTGTTCCTCGAATGTATCAAGTGAAGAAGTCTCTTCATTGACGTAGCTTGCTGCGTTAGGTTCGTCGTCGGCGGGCTCACCACTTTTGTGGGGCCCGTTATTTTGTTGTTATTTAGATCGTACGATATTTGTTGACGGGCTCTCTCTTAACATAATAACTGACACTACATATTAATAACTCTGAATAGTTATTATCAATATGGAGCAAAATCTAATTGATAACCAGATTAGAATACATGTTGTATATCCATTTGAATATAATTTCCCAACAATCTTTATTCTTAGTTCATTTTTGTACTGGCTGTTTGAATCTTCCCATTGATGTTTATGACTATAGTTGATCAGTCTCTTATTGGTTTATGTGCATCCTGTACGGATTGCCTCGATATTGCCTGTAGTCACAAGGATTATAAAAAGAGATGGATGGTGACTAGCAGTGAAATTCAGGACGCGCGTTTCGTTCCATGTGGAACTCGTCATATAGATGCATCTGCATCTCAGACTGGATATTCACACCGTAACTTGAACCCAGTACAGTTCGCTTCAAACGTTATGACGTTATCCACTTAGCTATTGAGTCTTTATTCTTTGTTAAGATCATTCATATGATTTTGAAGTTTACAGATAAGATGTTAAGACAACATTACTACCACGTCATCCGGAAACCCAAGAAATATTCACTTATATTTTATTCATTACTTAATTAGTATTCTTGAAAATCCATTATATTTTTAACCCCTTAATTCTAGGTATTGCCACAATAACTGCTTTAATACTCTATCCAATATCAGCTGAAACATGTATACAAAATTTATTAAACCTTAATATATTCAAAATTAAACCATCTGATCATACTTCCACGATCAGCATATCTAGTAACAATAACAACAAAAATCCTGCTTCTGAAGAAGATGTATCATTGACCAATATTGAGACACAATTTGGATATACATATTTTTTGACATGGATTGCAGCACTATTTTTTGTCAATTCATTCATATGCATGAATTTAGATTTATTGATACAATCATTCGTTCGACCAATACCACTAATCAGCACTACAATAAATAATTTAATGCCATGCTGTGGTTTGTCTACCTCGTCGTTATCAGAATCACCAGTATCGTCTAAATCGTCACACTCATCTTGTCATTTCAATGAGTCTATTTATAAAAATCAAAGACGTGAATGTACTGAAAAGAATATAGAAGATATGGTAATATCAAACAGTAATCAAAATACTGAAAATAATCCTAATGGCAATCTACATTCTAAGCGTAAGCTGATAAAATACCAACGCGAATTCGTATCATTCGATGATAGTATTACAGAGAATAGTCAACATCAGCCTTGTCAAGTACCAAACATTCTACTGAGTGATTATGATAAAGAATGTGAATTGATAAATTCACGAAATAAAGAGTTGTGCAAGGAAAACTCTATTAATATTACTGATGAGATTGTAGTGATTCCTGATGAGATTTTACAAGATTCAGGTCAAGATGGTGAATGGATCTAAATACAAGATAAAATATACGGATCCAAGTGCTTTGAACTGATTAAAATAGAATTCACACTGTTCACCTATAATTTATGCCAGAGAATGCTTTCATCTATTATTCTGAAGTAGTTATTTGTCATCTCTTGTTCAGTGATTGAATTTTTTCCAACAGTACCTTGTAAATAAAATACACTTATCGTTTCGATGAAATTCAAAGTAGTAATGCATCCAGCGTTTGAATCAGGTGATAATTTGCATTACCTTCATGTGTGAACATTATTCTAGGTGACCAAATATCAAGAAAAAAATATGCACACATATAAACTTATTGATCAAGATTAATGGTAACCATATTGAACATTTTAACGTTTTCTCCTCTGGAAGATATATACTAATATATACACATATTCAAACATTATTTTGTTTATCAAAATGCTATTTTTAAATATATAAATGATGTTAATCCTGACTATGGTTTTTAATACATTTAGAAGATTATGAACTTCATATACGAATAACTGCATTAGGTAGTCAACTGTAAACCCTGTTTCACATTCATCAGCATGTTATCCGATAAATTCCAACCGAAGTCTGACAGATTCATAGCCTAAGAATTTACCATTGACCTATTCGAGTGGCAAGTGATCTGTACGACTGAGGTATTTATTAACTATTGACCACCTAGTAGAGGCGGCTATCATATTTATTTAGTCGTTTAACGCTGATAGATCTAGTGGTTGAATGGCGCAGGATCAAGTACACTGGGAAACATTAGTCTTACAAAGATCACAGATACACTTTACTGAAAAATGTCAAACAAGACAAAATATAGGTTCAGCGTCCCTTGGATACTACCTCCAAGCACCTAGCATCTCAGCATAGTACACTTAATATCAAGTCACCTGGATTGATGACCACACTACAATTTGATTTATAGAATTCGATCAGCACAAAAAATGCTGATATCGGTTACTACTTAGTAACCAGTTATTCACTAATAACTGTTTTGTGTGTACTTAGATCAAAATTAACATCGTTTAGTAGCCTGCTGTAAATTTCTTGATTAAAACAAACAATTTAGTTAAACTTTCTCATTTCCTACTTAAATTAAAAATAAGAGTAGAGTTGTAGTGGATGTTGGCTTCCGATTGAGATCATGAACCGATCAATGTTAGACCGCTGCTGAAAAACTGAAGGCACTGAACGGCCATTTTGTCCTAGTATGGGACTCCTTATCAGTGAACATCCACGATCCCATATTCGAGATTCGAACCCAGGACCTTCGGTCCTCTGCGCGAATACTTACCTTGAAACCACTAAGGCAGGATCCCATGGTGTTAATATCTTATTTTAAATGAGCCACGAGTCCTGCATGAAAGACGGCTATCCAGTGCTTCTAGATGCGCAATGGTAGTCTAACATTGGTCAGTTCATGATATCAACTAAATTAAAAACCTAATCCAACACCTTAAATATTGAGGAATTTCAAGAATGGACGATGGTATGTACAGGTTGGTCTATCATCCCAACAATATTCTGTTGTTCGACAGAGATTTTCACTGAAATTTGAATATATATACTGTTAAAATCGACTATGACATTTTAAAAACAGTTATGTATTAAACTTACACATATAATAATTTCTAAAGTCATTTCATCACCAAAGAAAGTGCGTTCAGAAACCATTATTTTAAACATAAGCACACATAACATTATAATGTTGACAATATTCATTTCTCAGTATTAACTGAAGTTGAAATTATGTCTAGTTGCTTTCCGTACTATTTTGGAATGAGAATTTCTCTCATACATTTGTATTTTCTGCAAAACAAAAAATTTTTTATATCACATTTTATACTTAATGTTATATTGGTTTGATCCTTTTGTAGTGGTAAGTAAATCCTTAAAATCAGAAGCTCTGTAAGGCTTTAAATTTTGATGCTGATCTCATTCGTTTTAATGGACTCATCTAGCTGAAGTAGCTTGGTCACACATCCGCACCAGATCACGAATGGTTTCGCTGTGCTTCACATCTTCTACAACCTCTAGCCAGCTGAGACTGATCACCTCGATAGATTGATAACCTATCAAATATATCTTCGAACCACTTCGCTTTTGATTTCACTAGGTTGGCATATTTAGATTATAAAAGATATTACTGGTTAATGTGTTGTCAAACATTGAATACTTATGGTATCTTTAATTTTATTGTTTAAAATGTTTACATATCAAACAAAGTTTGTTATTATAAGCAGATATAATGGCAGCTAGTAGTGGATTTCATTACTCGCGTTTTGTTTTACTTACGTTCTCTTTATTACTTACAGCAATCCATATAGGATTTAGATTTATCAATAAGATACTGATAAATTAAAGCTATAAACATCAATAGGAATATTCAAATAACCAATACAAAAATAAATAACATTTTGCGATTGTTAGTAATATCCATCATATTTGCATATAAATTAAAAAAAAAACTTATTTTTCATGAGATAGCAAAAATATTAATGATAATCTGTAAAGATAAAAAATAGGCATTTTAATCTGTATAGATACAAAGAATATTTTTTACTATTACTACTGCTATTAGTGAATTGATCATCTCTTTTATTATTGGATGAAAAGTATTTACACATTAGGAATAGTGTATATGTGATTAAATGAGAATGAAAGATTATTAAACATAATTTGATTTTTATAATCAGATATTTATAATGAAAGTAATTGGATCTGATTGCCTAGTATAATCAAGTATATTGATTTATAAAAGAAAAAGAAAACCTTCATCTAATCAGGATAAGAAATAATATAAACTTCAAGTATGTTATTTATCATGTACAAGATTCCAATAATGTTAGTGAGAACAGTAGATGTGAATGAACATTGTTGTTTTCAATTAGATCGCCATTACGCTTTACTCTGATATACATACATATAACTTTATACTAGGAAAGGATGAAGATGTACAATAGATCATTAGATATGATTTGATTTTATCTATCATATGATCACCGTCAACCCAATGCACCAAGATAGAGTAGCATATTGTTTTTGTTTGGCTCTTTTGAAATCAAGCTGAAAAGTGTTTACTCCTTCACTTGTTAAGTTACCTAGTAGTACTCCAAATATAGCTATCTCTGAAGGAACAACTGAATTTCTAGATGTACACATGTTGATGTTGTATGTTTAGCTACATCAGAAGCAGTTGATGATGTTCACACTTACAGTTAGTATTTTTCTCACAAAATCTGTAATTTATGTTATTAAAAACTATTTATGAAATAAAATATATCAAAGGGGAGTATACATTTATAATTCGTTGTTGTGTAATTCACAATACTTAATACTCATTACTGTAATATCACATTAAATGGTTTGTAGGGAAAAAACCATTATATCGACCACAAAATCTTCTTTTCAACAACATAATATTGTCCTCTTATAACCTTTAACATCAAACGAATGTGATCTTTATTAAGTGACATCAAACGGAAACGAGTTGAATTCATTGAAATTATCAAATTTTGATGGAAGTTCGTGATTGGATTCAAGATATACTTGTGATCAATAGTTTTAATAATTATCCCTGACATGAAACCTTTATATGCGTTTAAAATATATGTGTATACAATCAAAATAGATGTGACGTCTGGACGAAAGTGGTCAACGGAACAAAGAAAAGATGTTCTCAATAAAGACAACAAATGTAGCATAAGGAATTCTTTTTGACGAATTTATTATCAAGCTGTAAAATCGTATAAAGATATAAAATGTGAAAAATGAATAAAAATAGTGACGTAACAGGAAAACTTTAATACTGGATCATGTAATGTGGGTTCATGGATAAGTGGCTTTCTGGAAATGGACAGACAAATAATTGGTTGTGAAATTCATAACCTACCACTGGATTATAGTGTGAAAGGAATAAGATAATAAAAATATCTTTCTTATAACTATTCAAAGTACAACTAATGAAATGAAAATAAAATATAGTAATAATAGGTTGAGCTCTAATGAAGCCTAAAATTGAGCTATATTTTCTTTGTAATAAAAAATACAGGTTTTATTTCAATGGATAAGCAAAGCTTTTGTTAGTTTGACGGATTTGGGAAGAGCTCTTAGTTGGTGTCGACGGATCCTATAAACGTGTGGGTTGGCTTTGTAATTAAAGTTAATTGCATATTAGGGACTTAAACTTCTAACCAGTTTCTTTCCACCCTTGTATAAACAAGGAAGATGTGTTCTTTTATGTGTATTGAATAGGTCTATGTATTTTGCTGTATAAGAGCAAGGAAACTAGTAATTATACACAGAGGTGACCAAACAGGGAAGGGTATCCTTAAAGAGAAAGGAATTTTAATGCACATAAAGTTGTTGAAAATAAAAGTCGAAAAATTTAATTTTAAACAGTATTTCAATAATCAATCTTGTATAATTCTTCTGTTAGGCAATTCTACTTTAAATTACACAATACGCCCAAACGATTAACATACTGAAAAACAACAAAAATAAATAGTCAAGATAAGCACTTTTGTTATGAAACATGCAAATAAACATCAACTATAAATGATTGGCAAATACTTGATTGACCGGATATAAAATACATGATTGAATAAAAACCAAAATGGAATATTCATTTAATTAGAATAATTTTCTATTAGTTATTCGCTAGATAAACATGATATTATGATCGAATTTTTAGACAGTTCTTACTTCATCAATACTTAACCTAGTACATTTGATCTAGATTGATGAAGTAATACATGAAAATTTACATCCCATTCATAAAACACTAATGTGTACACACTAAAATCTGTAATAATTGTGCTTACTACATACTGATATGTTCGATGGAGAAGCACGTCCAAAACTGACACCTGTTTATTGTTTTTTTTTATTATCATCAGTTATCATGATGCTATTTCCGTACATTAATAAGTCTATCTAATAAAACTGATAGGTCCTGGGTTCGAATCTCGCGGAGGGCGGGATCGTGAATGCGCACGGCTGAGGAGTCCCATACTAAGACAAAACGGCCGTCCAGTGCTTCTAGGTTTTCCATGGTTGTCTGGCTTCAATTGACTCATGTTTTTATCTATTGAAATTACTAAAATCTCCACAAAAAACCCCTTCAGATGAACAATATTGAAATTTTTATCACATATGGTTATTGGCTAATATGAATAATTTCACAGTAAATGAACATTCAGATGGGGAATATCAGTTTGTTATTTAATGCGAAATTACAGAGTGCTATGGTAAAATATGAGAATCTTACATTAAATACTTTATGTGCAAATCATCCATCAATTGTCTCTTGCAAACTTCACCGTTCGTTCATTCCAGTTTTTATTACAATTACTCCCTATTTGCATTTCTATTCTCTTCAATTCAGTTTTCTTAACCTTCTGCTTCTAGGTATTTCACTTCTGATTGATATTACATACTACTTATCTCTGTCAACAT